TTTAATTAGTTTAGTTATTTACTTTATTCAAATCATTTAATTTCAATTGTTCAAATAAAATTAGAATTTATTAATTTTGGTACTTAATTAGTCTACGGTCTCTGTGGGACGATACTCTATTTTCATCATTATATTACTTGAACAGACTAGTACACTTGCTAGAGTGGAATTAGCTCATCACTGATCACACACACTCCAAGCATATATATACTTAAGAATTCATGGGTCATGTAATAATGAAAGTACAAAGTAATGTTTCTATTCAAGACCACTCTGACTCTTTACCATTAACTTAACAACCAAAGCTCATCACTGTGCCACACGTCCTGCATTTGGTTTCCAACATCTACAGAAGTAGTTTCACAATAGAGTCAGGTGTTTTGTATCTTCAGACCCTTGATCTTCAAATGCTGGATTTATGTCATGGAAAGAAAGGAAAAAAAATGAAACCAAAATCAATAGCTTCTATATATATATCAATCAAGGGAATGCATCATCCTCTTCATTGATGTGAAATTAACTTCGTATAACAAAGATAACAAGCAATCAACTAGCTAATTAGAATAGATGGTATTTCAATTGGTTTCGATGGAGAACATACCCTTCACAACACCAACGGCCAACCCCACATATTAGAAAGCTGAATTATCCAGGTTACACTTCAATAGATATACCAGAATCTGGTAGAATCCATATCAAACATCTTTTCTCAAAATACAAATTTATTTTTGCAAACAAATGGACCATGAATAGGTTAAGATTGAAGCATGATAGAAAACTCCCTACCAACTGGAAGACCTGCACCAAATGGACATATAAATTGCACAGAAAATAAACAAAATATGATTTTTTAAGAATATGGTGAGTTTGTGAATAGGTTGCTGGTACCTAACTCCGATTTAGTCTGCAAGCCCAACGTAAGGGATGTTGGCTATGAGAGGCCAATAGACTCCTTTCTCCTCCAAGCACCGTTCTTTTAGAAAGGGACAACCATAGAGCCGAAACTGTTGAAGTGAGGTGGGTAGGCCTTCCTTAGGCAAGGATCGAAGCTTTGGGCACCCAAAAAAATATAAATGCTCGAGAGAATTGAGGTTTTGAAGGAGGACTTTTGGTATGGATTTCAAATTACTCATCTTGCATATAGTAAGACTTTTTAGAGACTTCGGAAGCTGCAAATTATCCGGAGGACATATCTCCCAAATTTCGAATGATTCAAGTGAGGTAAGTCTGTCGAGGCCCCACTCTAACATTGACTGCCTCCACTCTAACATCAACTGCCTGAAGCCCTTACCACTGATTTCAAGTGTTTTTAGGTTTAAAGGAAAACCTCCTTCTGGTATGGATGCGATACCTGGACAATCAATTATAACTAAATACCGGATGGATGTAAGGTTGCACATCTCATTGGGTAAAGACTTGAGATTCTTCAAATTCTGAATCTTCAAAGTTTTAAGATTGGGGACAGACGACGGGTCCATTTTTGGCAAGGACTCTAAACCTTCACAAGAATTTAACTCTAATTTAACAAGACCGCTGAGGTTGTGCATGAAGTCAATAGGTAAGCTTTTGAGATTTTCCACATGCTCAATCCACATCTCTTCAAGTTGTGTACAATCCTGTAGCAACCTGTCTGGAAGTGACTCCAATTGCTTGCAATCCCTAATTTTCAGCCTCTTAAGAGCACTTGGTAATTTGGAACTAGGAAAACACTTTAGAGATGGGAGATTGCCAATCTCCAAATGTTCAAGATTCACTCCCTCTGGTAAGTACTCTAAATTTTCACAATTTTGGATTTTCAGCCTTTTCAGAGTGCTGGGTAACTTGTCTCTGTGAAAAGATTTGAGCTGCTCACATCCTTTAATGTCTAGTTCTTCAAGCTGCAGCATATTGTTGCCTCCATCCCTTATTTTCATCAATCCACCAAGCAATGGCTCCAAAACCACCAAATCCTCAAGCTGAAGCTTTTTTAGATGCAATGGCAAGCCAGTTACTGAAAAGCGCACAAATTTTTTGCACTTTTGTATGGACAATTCCTTAAGGCAAGTGAGAGCATGCAATCCATTAGGCAAGCAATCAAGTAGAGGGCACTCTTGAATCCTCAGAAACTTAAGACTAGCAAGGCTGGCTCCGTCCTCCCACAAGCAAGTAAGTTCATCACATTCTTTAATGTCTACTGTTTCAACAGCTGTCAAGAACTGTGTTATGCTTTTAGGCAAGCAAGCAAGCTTTGGAATTCTCTTAATCATTAAAGAGGTGAGGCAAGTGACGTCCATCATGTTCCTAAGAACTGCCTCATTGCAACCTGTTATTTCCAACTCTCCAAGTGATGGGAGACTCAGTAGTGAATAACTTAATTGAGGACAATTTCTAATCATGAGAATTTTGAGAAAAGGAAGGTGACTAGGTAATTTTCCGATCAACTTGGGACAGTCCTCCAATGTCAGCTTCTCTAGTGATGAAAAACTACCAGAAAAGGAGTTATCTCCAGTAAACTCAGGCATGCCTCTTATGATCAATTCTTTTAGCAATGGTAATTGCCCAAGGGGTGGTAAAAAAGTGATGTTTTGACAACCACGTAGTTCCAAGTACTCCAATTTGCAGAAAAATGGATCACCTATCCAAGATGGAAATTCCAGTCCACCAAAGAACTCGATTGTAAACCTCTTCAAATTGCAATGAGGTCTCAACTCACAAAGTACCTTATCTTCATTGCTTACATTTCGTGAAGTTTGGAAATCATCAGTCCATTGCAAGATTAACTCATCAAGGCCCTCAATCTCATGAAGGTTGGCTTCACTAGCATCTCGAAAATCTGAGACTTTATGTAGATTTGAGATGAGTAGATCGCCTTGAAGTTGCTTCAAGTTTTTCAACTCTCCTAGTCTCAGCCCACCTCCAATAACAAATTTGGACAGTGTCAAAAGATTTGTCAGCCTGCCAATTCCTGACGGTAACACCTTTAGTCTCGTTGTATGAGCAATATCAAGATGAAGCAAGTCAACTAAATTCACGATACCCTTTGGCAACTGAGTAAGCTCCATACAATATCTTAATATCAGTGCCTGTAAGTATACAAGAAAACTCACAGAATCAGGTAGACTTTGGATTTTAGTCCAAGATAAATTAAGATAGCACAAAAGCTTCAAATCTCCAATTGAATCTGGAACCTTCTTTATGAAATAACCATCAAAAGACAAGACCCTTAAGCATCTCAAGTTTGAAAGCAAATAATGCACCACTTTATTTGATAAGAACCTCCATCTATATCTGCTAGTTGGGAGAAATGTCCGCAAACTCTTCATTTTCTCCATCATTTCAAATCTTTGATAAGTATCATACCTACCAGGAATGAATGAAAGATGGCGAGTGACTTCTAGTTTCTTGTTGACTGACATATCTAGTTGGCAGCAAGTTTCTGAAGCAACATCTCGAGCTAACTCCATCACAAGGTCATGCATGACAAAGAGTGATGAATTGCTACGTGATCGCTGGAAAAATGATCTCAATAACAAATCACGGAAGTATTGATGACCCAGGCTTTTCATTTCCTTCATTCCATCTATCTGTTGATGTTGTCGAAGAAACCCCTGTGCCATCCACAATAGCACCAAATCATCCTCATCGAGCTCAAAATCATTCGGAAATATCGCACAAAAGGCGAAGCATTGTTTTAAATGAGAAGGAAGATGATGATAGCTCAATCTCAAAGCTGGAAGAACTCCACCTATCTCTTCTGATACTTTCCATATCTCACTGTTTAATACTTCCCTCCATTTGTTAGGATTTAACTGATCTTCACGAAGAAGCCCTCCAATGGTTGTTATAGCCAAAGGCAAACCTTTGCATTTTTTCACTATTTCTTCACCGATTCCTTTGAGATGCCCATATGAATCAAAATTTTCTGTTTCTAGTGCATGTCTGGCCAATAATGACAAACACTCATTATCTGGAAACAAATCAAGATGATAAACCCAATCACCTCCTCTCATGCTTTTCGCGACTTTCTCATCGCGTGTTGTAACAATTATTTTGCTTCCGGGTGCTCCTAACATGAAAAGCCCTTGTAATCTGTTCCAAAGGTGATAGTTGTTGTTCCAAACATCATCAAGTACAAGTAAAAACTTCTGTCCAGACAACATTTCTTTCAGCTTGTTGTGAATCACTACAGGATCTTTTGAATCAGATTTCACGTTCATTTGATCCAAAATAGATATTGCTATTCGAAGATCATCAAATTCATCAGAGACACAAACCCATGCTTTTGGCCCAAACACACCTTCCAATTTTTCATCATTATAAACAAGACTAGCAAGTGTAGTCTTCCCTAATCCTCCCATTCCAACGATGGGAATCACAGAAAAGCATTTGGTACCACCTTCATTAATTAACAACTTTTGAAGAATAGCATCCTTATCCTTTTCCCGGCCAAAATCATGACTTTCAGGCACCCCAGTAGTGGGAATCCTTTGTGTAACTGCTCTGTTGGTTCCATCTTCAATTTTCAGGTTCAATGCATCTCTCCGTTCCTGGATCTTTTCCAATTGATCAGTAATGCCCTTTATCTTGGACATAATCTCCCAATCAACCTTGAAATCACCGGAAATACAGCTACAACCAGTGAAACATGATGGTGTTGGGATAAGTTTTCTGGCTCTACTGGTGCTGGCTTGATCACAAGTTTTTAAATTCATTTTTTGTCTCCGTGCATCAGCTTCAACTCCGCGCAGGACATCCTCCATATCATAAGCTATGTCTCTAAGCTCTGAAAGCCATGTCTTTACAGCATTATTGGTTAATTGCTTCCTCTCTGCATCTTCAAGAACATCACGTATGTTCGGCAAAAGTTTTTTCCAATTCTCTAATGCATCACGTGCCTCCTTTCTTGATTCAAACCAATCAGTGACCTCGGACTCCAACTTATTGATTAACCATTCAAAGGTAGAAGCTACAAGAGCAGCTCCTACTTCCATGGTGTGGAAAACTCTGTAGAAATGAACAAGAATAAACAATGAGAGGGGTCACTTAAGTACGTATTGAAATTGTATGAAAAAGTTCAACAAAATATATACAAACCGATTATTATTAGGAGAAAATTAAATATGAAACACAATTCGAATATAAAAATCTTGTGAAATAAAATTAAAATTTCATATTTTGTGGAGAATTGTAAGAAGATTTGTAAAACATAAATTAATTGAAAGCATAAATATAAATTTAAAATTAGAGCATTTACCATGTTTAACTCATTTGAGTTCCTTCTTGCAGCATATCATTATAATTTATATTATTTTATTTAATTCACTAATAAAATTTTATAAAAAGACTCT